CAAAGCACATTGTAACGATTTCTATTACCCTTATAGGTCCCAATATGTGAATTGTAAGTCCTCTAGCTTTGTTCTTCAATATTATCTTAGCTCGTCTTAGCAAACTGCATGGCCATATCCACTTTGGAATCAGCTTGTGGATATGCACACTAAAAAACTCACTCACACAAACATAAATCCTGCGGGGGGTGAAACAGTACTGAATTAATAGATACATTTTAGGGGATTGACTTATCTAAAATATTGATCTTGCAACCCTCTAATAGGATACAGATAGCCATTTTTAGGTTTCTTTATTTTTTCTCAATAATGGTGATATGGTTTGGCTCTGTGTCCCTACCCAAATCTCATTTTGTAGCTCCCATAATTCCCACGTGTTGTGGAAGGACCTGGTGGGAGGTGATTGAGTCATAGGGGTTGGTCTTTCCCTGTGCTGTTCTAGTGATAGTGAATGGGTCTCAGGAGATCTGATGGTTTTGCAAACGGGAGTTTCCCTGCACAAGCTCTCTTTTTTTTGCCTGCTGCCATCCACATAAGATGTGACTCGCTCCTCCTTGCCTTCTGCCATGAGGACTCCCCAGTCATGTGGAACTGTAAGTCCAATAAACCTCTTTCTTTTGTAAATTGCCCAGTCTCATGTATGTCTTTATCAGCAGCATGAAAACGGACTCATATAAATGGTTTGTATTTATCAGTACAGAAGTCTTGTATCCCTTTTGTTAAACTTATTTCTTGGCATCGGATATTTATGAATGCTATTTTAAGTAGCGTTTTACTGTGAATTTCATTTCTTACTTGTTTGTGGCTGATATGCAAATATACAGTTCATTGAATTTATATTGATATTGGATCCCATCTTTATTAAATTCACTTATTAATTCTAAAAATTTGCCTTTAGATTAATTTAGATTTCCTAGCTATATAATCATGTCATTTGAAAATAGTACTTATTCATTTCCATTCTTACGCCTTTTTAATTTTTCTTGCTTGATTGTTCAGGTACAGTATTGGATCGGTCTAACTTTGAATGGAAATGCTATGAGTAGGCATCCTTGTCCTGAAAAGGGAAACACTTTCTGTATTTTACCACTGATCATTTTACTGCAAGTTCTGTTCTGTGTTTTGTTTGATATTCTTTATCAGATTAAGAAGATATCCTTCTATCCATATTTGCTGAGAATTTTTATTTAAAATGCTTCTAGTGAGTATATTGAAGTAATGATACATGTTATTCCTTTTCCTGTTACTGACATAAATGAATTTTGTTAAAATTTTATAATATGATCAATATATTCACATATATATTTCACATGTATATTCACCTCTATATAAACATATAGATGAAATATATAAACATATATTATCATATATAAACCCATATAGCATATGTATATATAATCATACATAAACACATATATGTGAAATATATACATTACCATCATACATACAGTTGGTAGGTTTCATATATAAATTTATAAAATATATACGAAATTTATTTACATATGAGCTAGATCAACTTTATATGTACAATAATGTTATCATCATTAGTTATAATAATAATCATATAATTATAATTATATTCATCATTAATGATAATATGTCATTGATAACACTGGGTTCAACTTGTTAATGTAAATCACTGGGTTCAACTTGTTAATAATTCGTTTAAAATTTTTGTTTTTCCAACTGTAATAGATTGCTTAAAATGTTTGCATCACATTCGTAAGAGATGAAGGTACTTACCTTAACAGCAGCAATTTTTTAAATATAAAATTTAGGTAGGCTTCATTTAACACAAACTACTTAAGAAATATTTTATACATTTTTATCTGAAAATTTTTGAATGTTTGGTGTTATTTCTTTTACAAATTGTTTTAAAAATTCTCCTATAAAGCCATGTGGGCTTGGAGGCTTCTTTGTTAAAAAATATATTTAATTTTTTAATTATTAAAATTATTCTGATAATCCATTATTTTCTTCATTCAGTTTGGCAAATCTTATTGTGAGGAATTTTTACGTTTTGCTCAAAGTTTTGGTTTTCTAACAAAGTGTATAACCCTATCTCTACAAAAAATGCAAGAATTAGCCAGGCGTGGTGGTGAGAGCCTGTAGTCCCAGCCACTCAGGGGGCTGAGGTGGGAGGATCGCCTGAATCCAATTGGTTGATGCTGCCGTGAGCCGTGATCGCACAACTGCATTCCGGCCTGGATGACACAGTGAGATCCCGACTCAAAAAAATAAAATAATATAAAATAAATAAACAAAAAGTATCCAAAATGTACCCACCTAAAACTTCTAGCTTGCAATTTTTAGCGTATAATACTCCACTTTTAACACAAAACTTGGAGACTACAGATAAATAAAGGTACTTGTCTTTATTTTCCCCCACAAATAAAATGAAGACATGGCCATTGTAAATTATAATTAAATGCTGGATGCTTCTAGGATATTTTTAAAAACTTTTCCTCTATGTTGATATTTATCTATGCTGTAACCATAGGGACCTCAATTAAGAAAGTTAAGTGAATTCTGCAGGCCTTGATATTTTTAGCAAGTGAAACGGGTAATCAAATTTCACAGACACACTCACAACCAGCATGACCCCCGGATAGACCCACTGGAATATATTTCAATGAATACAACCTCAAAATGTATTACTAGTGGGATAGTAGTATATAGTACTGTGTTTAGTAGAGTACTTCAAGCTTATGGGGAAAGATCTATTTTCGAAAACCTCTTATGTTCATATGTTTTTCATGCTGTTTTGAGTATAGCAGAATAAAATATTAAATGGTTTAAAATTTTTGAATGCACTTTGCAATGTCTACTGATCTTTCACATAGTAAACATGCAATAACTCTTCATTGTTTATGTTCATAAATTTATATTCTTTGTCTCAAGAGGAGACATTTATTAGCCAAGATATTGGACACATGTCAGTCCTACCACCGGCTAAATCTGTGTTCTCATGTGCAATTTACCATATATCTCACTGGCTTTGTCTGGCGTTTAAAAAATTAAAATAAAGAGATAAAGACATATAAATAAGTGTTTTTAGTTACTTTTGGGTAAAGCAAAGTATAAGGTCATTCCTGTTCACTTATTTGTGTGCTCAAAAATATTTATTTAGCACCTATTATGTTCCAGACCTTAGATTATTTACAGTGTCATAATAACTGCAGTGTTATTTGTTACTGTCTCCCCTCCTTACCTCCCAATCCACTCTTCAACTCATTCCTGTCTTCCTTACCCATCACGCCATTGATACTTTCTTGAAAAAGTCTCTGATGATTTGCATGTCTCCCAATTCAGTGGTGATTTTTCTGTTTTAGTCTTGCTCACCTTTTTAGTCCGTTCTTAGCTGAAATTTTTTGAAACACTTTTTTTTGTTTCCTGACACCAGCTCTCTTGGATGTCTTTCTACTCAGTTGACTAATTTCTATTTTTCTTTGCTGCTCTTCCTTTCCATCCAAACCTACCTCTTAAAATCACTGAGGATTTGAACTTGGACTCTGTGTTTACCTCTCCATGCACTCTTCTCCTAGATATTGCATCCATTCTAATATGCTTTTCATGTCATTTTTATGCTGGTGACTTTCAAATTTATATTGCCCACTCAGACATCTCCTTGGAGAATCACATTTATGTACATCCAGCTGCTTACCTGACATTTCACTGATAACTTCCTTCTATGTCTGAATTTAAACATGTTCAGAACAGTGTTCTCCGTGTGCTCTGCAAATCTGCTTCTTCCCTGGCTTCTTCTCAGCACCGCTGTCCACCCAGCTGTTCAGACCAGAAGCCTGCGTCTCACCTGCATAGGCTGTCAAATAGCACTTAACATCGATTCTCCTTTAAAATAATGTATCTGGATGCTTTCACTGCCATCACAGTGGTTCATTCCCCATCACATCTTGCCCGGCTTTCTGCATCAGGCTTCTTTTCATTCCCCGTGCTCCTAGTCGATTGGAAACATATGCAACATGGGAAGCATAATCACAACACCAACACCCATGAACCCAGCACCAAACCTCATATTATTACTAATATTGAAGAATGTAGCTGAGCAACCCTTCCCTAAACTCCTTCTGTAGCCTTCCCCACACAGTAAACACCATTCTCAATTGTCTCCTCTTGTAGCCTTCCCCACACAGTAAATGCCATCTAAATTATATCCTTTTCTGAATTTTAAGGAGTTGTTTTATGACCAGGTAATATACCTAAACTATATATCAATTTGATTGATTTTGTAGACGTTTTATTGAATTATAACATACATAAGAAAAGGATGTTATAACCATAAGTGTGCAGCTCAAAAACATTTCACAAATGAACACAGCTTTGTGTCTAGAACCCAGATCGGTCCGAGAAACAAAGCATCAGTCATGCCTAGAAGCGTCTGTGAAGCCCCTTTTCATCACCCGGTCCCCAAGGGGAGCCATTATCTGAACTTCTAGCACCACAGACTACTCTCATTTACTGAGTGTGCACTCTCTGCGCCTTAGTTATGTCATTCAACACTCTCTTTGTGAGATCTCTCCATGTTGTTTCATGTGGTCGCGCACACACTCTCGTCGTTACACAAGATTCCATTGTGGGAATATGGCATGCTATACTTCTCCATTCTAGTGTTGGTCATCATTTGATGAGACTCCAGTTCTGGGAACCTGTTTGTACACGTCATTTGGTAACCATATGCACATATTTCTCTCGGTTATGTGCCCAGGAGAGGAATTCTGGGATGTGAATTTCTGGAAGATGAATGTTTACCTTTGGTAAATACTACTAATGTGCTTTCCACAGTTCCTGCATCAATCTATACTCCCATAAGTAGGGTGAGCAAATTCAGTTCTTCTGTATCATCACCAACACTTAATATTTCATTCTCTTGTCCTGTCTCTATTTTTAATCGATTTAGCAAAGGAATGTAAATAATATTGGGTTGTATTTTTTTTGTGTGTTTTCCTAGTGAAAAATTACATTGAAGGAAAGTGGTGGGGCAAGATAATGGACTAGAAGTCTCCACCGATCACCGCCCCCCCTCCACAAGGATACCAATTCAAGAACTATTTACATGAAAAAAGAACCTCTTTAAGAGCTTGAAATCTGGCGAGAACTCACAGGATCTGGTTTTTACTTCGTTTCACTGAATGAGGCACTGAAGAGGTAGGAAAAGCAGTCTTGAGTCACTGATGCCACCACTCCTCCTTACCCTGGAAGCAGCCTCGTGGTGCAGAGAGTGTTTCTGTGCCCTGGGAAGAGGGAGAGCCAGCAATTGTGAGGCATAGAGCTCAGTGCTGCCCTTGTTATAGCACAAAGCAAAACTGGGTCAAACTCAACTGACACCCACCCATGGAAAGAGCTTTTAAACCAGCCCTAGCCAGAAGGGAGTCACCACCTCCAGCTGTCAGAACTTGAGTTCCCACAAGCCTCGCCACCATGGGCTACAGTGCTCTGGGGCTCCAAAGAAAGGTATTGTAGGCCACAAGGACTTCAATACCTAGGTGAGTCCTAGGGCTCAACTGGGCCCAGAGACAGTAGACTACGAGGGCATGTGACCCACAGAGACACCAGCCAGGGTAGCTAAGAAAGTGCTGGCATCTGGCATCACCCTTCCTCTGACCACAGGCTATACAGCTTGTGGCTCCAAAAGAGACACTTCCTTCCACTTGAGGAGAAGAGAGGGAAGAGTGGGGAGCACTTTGTCTTGCATCTTGGATACCAGCTCAGCCACAGCAGGATAGGGCGCCAGTCAGAGTTATGAGGCCCCCTTTCCAGGCCTTAGCACCCCCCCGACATTTTTCCCTAGCCCCCAGACATTTTTTTTTTTTTTTTGAGACAGAGTTTTGCTCTTATTACCCACGCTGGAGTGCAGTGGTGTGATCTCGGTTTACCTCAACCTCTGCTTCCCGGGTTCAAGCAATTCTCCTGCCTCAGCCTCCCGAGTAGCTAGAATTACAGGCACGCACCACCATGCCTGGCTAATTTTGCATTCTTAGTAGAGACGAGGTTTCTCCATGTTAGTTAGGGCCCCCAGACATTTTTAGATACATGGTGGGCTGGAAGGAAACCAACTGTCTTGAAAGGAATGACCCAGTCCTGGAAGGATTCATTACCTGCTAACTAAAGAGCCCTTAAGCCCTAAATAATCAGCAGCAATACCCAGGTACTATGCTGATACTTGTTGGCTTCAGGTGAGACTCAGCACATTCCCAGCCATGATGGCTAAGGGGCAAGACTCCGTTTGCTTGTTAAAAGTGGAGGGAAAAGTAAAGGGGACTGTGTCTCGCACCTTAGGTACTACCTCAGCCACAGTGGGGTAGAGCACAAGGCGAGATTTTGGAGTCCTCGATTCCAGGACTCGGCTCTTGGATGGCCTTTCTGAACCTGCCCTGGGCTGGCATGGGGAGCACTCCCCTGAGGGGTGAGTTCAGGGCCAGACAGCATTCACCACAAGCAGACTGAAGAGCCCTTGGGCCTTAAGGGAACCTTGGGAGAGTGTGGCAGTACTCCTTGTGGGCCTGAGGTGGCAGTGGCCCTAGGGTGACACTCCTCTGCCTTTGCAAAGGGGAGGGAAGAGTGGAAAGGATTGTGTCTTGTGATTTGATTGCCATTGCCAGCGGAGCCACAGGACAATAGAACACAAGGTGGACTTTCAACTTTTTAACTCTAGTCCCTGGCCCCTGGATGGCAACTCTGTATCCACCAAAGGCCTGGAGAAACTTGCCATCATGAAGGGAAGGCCATAGGCCTCCCTGAGTATGTCACCTGCTGATTGTTGAGCCCCAGGGCTTTGGGCAAACAAAGGTGGTAGCCAGGGAGTGATTACAGCAGACCTTGGGTGAGACCCGTGCTGTCCTGGCTTCAGGTCTGATGCAGCACAGTCCTAGGGTTGGTGGCCTCAGGGTTCCTTGTGTCACCCCACCCCTAGCTCCAGGAGGCTCAGTGCAGGCAGAGACGGAGACTTTGTTTGTTTGGGCAAAAACAAGAGTGGAAGACAAATGTCTCTGCCCGGGAATCCAGATAATTAGTTCTTCTGAACCTTGTCCGAGACCATCACGGTGGTACCTCTAAGGGTCTGTAAGAACCACAGCACTACTGGGGTTAGGATCCCCTCTAAAGCAGATATGGCGTAGATCACAACACCCGAGTCTTTTCGAATATTTGGAAAGCCTTTTCAAGAAGGACGATACAAACAAGTCCAGACTTCAAAGGCTACAATAAATACTTAACTCTTCAATGCCCCAATACAGACAAACATCTATGAGTATCAAGACAGACCAGGAAAACATGACCTCACCAAATGAACTAAATAAGGCACCAGGAACCTATCCTGGAGAAATGGAGATATGTGACCTTTCAGAGAATTCAAAAGAGCTGCTATGAGGAAACTGAAATTCAAGATAACACAGAGAAGGAATTCAGAATTATTTCAGATAAATTTAACAAAAGATTCTAAAATAATTAAAAATAATCAAGCAGAAACTTTAGAGTTGAAAAATGCAACTGAGACTTTTTGGTTTTTGTTGTGTTTTTGTTTTTGTTTTTGAGACAGAGTTTCACTCTTGTTGCCTAGGCTGGAGTGCAGTGGCACTATCTTGGCTCATTGTAACCTCCGCCTCTTGGGGTTCAAGCAATTCTCCTGCCTCAGCCTCCTGAGTATCTGGGATTACAGGTGCCTGCCACCACGCCCAGCTAATTTTGTTTGTTTGTTTGTATTTTCAGTAGACATAGCATGTTGGCCATGCTATTTGCTGTTCACAAACTCCTGGCCTCAAGTGATCCACCTGCCCTGGCCTCCCAAAGTTCTGGGATTACAAGTGTGAGCCACCGTGCCCAGCCCATTGGAGACTTTAAGTAGCAAAATTAATCAAGTAGAAGAAAGGGTTAGTAAGCTTGAAGACAGCCTATTTGAAAACACAAAATCAGAGGGAATTAAGAAAATAATAAAAAACAACAAGCACACCTACAAGATCCAGAAAACTGCCTCAAATGGCAAATGTAAGAGTTTTGGCATCAAAGAGGAAGTAGAGAGACAGAAATAGAGAGTTTATTCAACAGGATAATAACAAAGAACTCCTGAAATTTAGAGAAAGGGATCAACATCCAAGTACAAAATCATCATAGAACATCAAGTAGATTTACCCAAGGAAGATGACCTCAAGACATTTAATAATCAAACTCCCAAAGGTGAACGGTAAAGAAAGAATCCTAAAAGCAGCAAGAGAAAAGAAACAAACAACATGCAATGGAGCTCCAATACATCTAGCAGCAGACTTTTCAGTGGACACCTTAAAGGCCAGAAGAGAGTGGTATGATAGATCGAAAGGGCAGGAGGAAAAAAACTGTTACCTCAAGGTAGTGTATTTGGTGAAAATGTACTTCAACATGAAGGCAAAATAAAGACTTTCCCAGACAAACAAAAGCTGAAGGATTTTATCAACACCAGACCTTTCCTACAAGAAATGCTAAAGGGAGTACTTCAATCAGAATGAAAAGGACGTTAATGCACAATTAAGAAAACAATCATCTAAAGGTACAAAAGTCACTGGTAATACTAAGTACACAGAAAAACACAGAATATTATCACATTGTAACTGTGGTATGTAAATTACTCTTACTTAAGCAGAAAAACTAAATGATGAACAAGTCAAAAATATTAACTACAGCAACTTTTTAAGACGTAGGTAGCACAATAAGAGAAATAGCAACAACAAACTGCTAAAAAAGGGGGGGAAATTAAGGCATAGAGTCTTTATCAGTTTTCTTATTGCTTATTTGTTTGTTTATGCAAACAGTGCTATGTTGTTATCAGCTTAAAATAATGGGTTATAGGATAGCATGTGCAAGCCTCATGGTATCCTCAAACAAACAAACAAACAAAAAAACATGCAAAAGATAGACAAAAGATAAAAAGCAAGAAAGTAAATTATATCATCAGAGAAAATCACCTTTACTAAAAAGAAGACAGGAAGGAAAGGAAGAGAAGACCACAAAACAATCAGAAAACAAATAACAAAATCATAGGAGTAAGTCCTTACTTACCAATAATAATATTGAATGTAAATGGACTAAACTCTCCAATGAAAATCATAAACTGGCTGAATGGATTGAAACAAAGGACCATTAACCTATTGCCTACAAGAAACACACTTCACCTATAAAGACACCCATAGAATGAAAATAAAAGGATGTAAAAAGATATTCCATACCAACAGAAACCAAAAAACAGCAGGAGTAGCTATACATACATGAGACAAAATAGAGTAGATTTCAAGAGAAAAACTATGAGAAGAAACAAAGAAAGTCACTATGTAATGATAAAGGGGTGAATTCAGCAAGACAATAAAACAATTTTAAATATATATGCACCCAACACTGGAGTAGCCAGATATATAAGCCAATATTGTTGGGGCTCAAGAAAGATATAGACGCCAATACAATAATAGCTCGAGACTTCAACACTCCACTTTCAGCATTGAACAGATCTTTCAGACAGAAAATCAGCAAAGAAATATCAGACTTAATCTGCACTATAGACCAAATGGATCTAATGAGACCACTAAAGAGGAAATAGATCTAAGAAACATCAGACTTCATCTGTACTATAGACCAAATGGATCTAATGAGACCACTATAGACCAAATGGATCTAATGAGACCACTATAGACCAAATGGATGGAAGAAACATCAAACTTCCACACTGTAGATGAAATGGATCTAGATGTTACAGAACATTTCATCCAATGGCCACAGGATACACATTCTTTTCCTCAGCGCATGAATCATTCTCAAGGATACAGCATATGTTAGGTAACAAAATTAGTCTTAAAACACTCAAAAAGATTGAAATAATGTCAAGCATCCTCTCTGACCACAATGGAATAGAACTAGAATTAAACAACCAGAGGAATTTTAGGAACTATGAAAATTCATAGAGGCATAGTTTCTTTCATGATATGATTATTACACATTGCATGCCTATATCAAAATATCTCAAATACCCCATAAATATGTACACCTACTATGTACCCACAAAGTGTTTTTTAAGTTAAAAAACTTACCTTGAAAACCTTTAGAAATATTTATTGGCTATTTTTGCCAAAGCAGCTAGTCAAGTATTTTGCTTTTTATTTGAATTATTTGTCTTGTTCTTGTTGATTTTTCTTATTGATTTTTTTGAAATTCTTTTTATGTTCTGGATAGAACTTTTCTGTCAAGACATATTTCATATGTATGTATGTGTATGTACATATTTACAATGTGATGATCAGAAGCTCTTCTATTCCAATTAACCAATTTTTCTTTTATAATTGGCATTTGTAAATTTGTCTATTTTTCTTTATTTCACCTTTTTTGTATTAAATTATCTATTTTGTATATATGTGTGTACTATATATATGTAAAATATGCACACATACATACACATATACATACACACACACACACACACAAAATCCAGCTTTACCCAAGATATTGTCTTAGTTAAGTTGCCGTCACATGGTGTCATATGCTGGGTGGCTTACAAGCAACAGCAGTTTCTTTCTTACAGTTCTGGAGGCTGAGAAGTCCAAGATCAAAGAACCAGCAGACTCAGGGTCTGGTGAGGGTCCTCCTCCAGGTTGCAGGCTATCCTCTTCTCCCTGCGTCCTCACAGGGTGAAAGGGGAAAGGGGTTTCCCTGGCGACTCTTTAATAAGAGCACTAAATCCATTCATGAGGACTCTGCCTTCATGACCCAAATACCCTGCAGAGGCTCCATTTCCTAACGCTGTAACACTGGGGGTTTGATTTTCAACATATACATTTTGTGGGGACAAAAAAATTAGTCCATAGCAGATACAATTTATATCATGCAATGTATTCATTTAAAACATGCAATTTCATTTATTTCTTTCAAATACACAGAGTTGCGCAACCATCACCACAGTTAATTTTAAGTCACTCCTCACTCCCCTCAGTGTCGCCAGCCTTAGTCTGCCACTGATGCTTTTTTGTGTGTGACTGGCTTCTTTGATTCTATGTGATGTTTAAAATACATCTACTAAACAATATTCCATGTGGAATCAAGTGCATATACGACATTTTATCTATCTATGAAACAATGTATTGACACTTGAATTGTTTCTATTCATTTGTTTTTACAAACACAGTTTATATGGACATTCATGTACAGACTTTTGTGTAAAAATGTGTTTTCATTTCTCTTAGGTATGTCCCAAGGAGTTCAATAGCAGGGTCGTATGGTATCTCTGTGTTTAATCTTCTGTAGAACGGCCAAGTTGTTTACAAGGTGGCTGCACCTTTCTACATTCCTTCCAATAATGGGTGAGGGTTCTGATTTCTCTGTATTTTTGTCAACCTTTGTTATCATAGTTTTGATACTAGCCATCCTAGTGGATGTGAAGCTTTATTTCATTACGGTTTTGATTTGCACTTCCCTGATGACTAATGATGTTGAGCATGTTTTCTTGTATTTCTTGGCTATTCGTATATCTTATTTGGGGAATGTTTATTCATATGTATTTTCCCATTTTTAATTGTGTTATTTTATTTCTATTACTTTTTATACAATTGACCCTTGAACAATATGGTTTAAACTGTATGGATTCACTTATACATGAATTTTCTTCTACCTCTGCAACCCCTGAGACAGCAAGACCAACCCGTCCCCTTACTCCTCCTCCTCAGCCTACTCAGCGTGAAGATGAGGGAGATGAACGCCTTTATGAAGATCCAATTCCACTTGATAAATAATATTCTCTCTTAATAAGTTCAACTTAATAAATAATAAATAATATTCTCTCTTAGGAATTTCTAAACATTTTCTTTTCTCTAGGTTACTTTATTGTGAAAATACAGTACATAATGTATAACATATAAAATAGTGTTAATTGACTCTATCAGTAAGGCTGTCAGTCAACAGTAGGATATTAATAGTTAAGTTTTTGGGGAGTCAAAGATTTTATGCAGATTTTTGACTGTGTAGGGGCATTGTTAAAGGGTTAATTATGTTAGTCCCTAAGATATGGTTTCCTAATATTTTCTTTCATTCTGTGGTTGTCTCTTATTTTCTTAATGGATTCTTCAAAGCACACAAATTTTTAATATTGAAGAAGTCTGTTTCATCATTTTCTTTCTTTGTTTGTTTGCGTTTTTAGTGTCATATCTAAGAAACTGTAGTCTATTTCAGGATCGCAAAGAAAGGCACTGGTTTTCTTCTAAGAGTTTTATAGTTTTAGCTCTTATAGTCAGGGCTTTGATACACTTTTAGTTAACTTTTTATATATAGTTTGAGGTGAATATGCAATTATTCCAGCATCAGTGGTTGAGAAGACTGTTCCCTCCCCTATTTAATTGTTGTGGCACTGTTGTCAAAAACGAATTGACAATTAATGTGACGATTTACTTATGGGCGCTGAGTTGGATTCTATTAATCTGTGTGTCTCTCCTTACACCAGTGCCGACTGCCAGTGCCATGCTTTTCTGATTCCTGCAGCTGTGTAGGAAGCTTTGACATTGGGAAGCCCGAGTCCTTCAGCTCTGTTCTTCTGTTTTAAGATGGTTTTGACTATTCTGGATCCCTTGAATTCCATATTAATTTTTGTCTTGTCAGTTTCTGCAAAACTAATGGCTGGGATCATGACGAATATTGTGTTGAATCTTTAGATCAATTTGGGAAATATCATCTCAATAATATTAAATCTTCATATCTTAGTTCAAATGATATATTTTTATTTATTTAAGTCTTGTTAAATTTTTTCAACAATATTTTATGGTTTTCAGAGTAAAGCTTTACATTTATTTTGTTAAATTAATTTTGATTTGATTAATTTCGTTTTGTCAAATCGTTTTATTCATGTTGATGCTTTTGCAAATGGAATGGTTTTTTATTTAATTTTTGGACTTTTCATTACTAGGGCAAAAAATACGATTGATTTTGGATGTTGATGTTCACAAAATTCTTTATTAGCTCTAACAGTTTTCAGAAGTTTCCTCAGGATTTTACATACATAAGATGATGTTGTCTACAAATAAAGGTAGTTTTACTCCTTTCTTTCCAATCTAGATGCTTTCTATTTCTCTATCCTGCCTAACTGCCCTGGCCAGAACCTCCAGCACCATGGTAAATGGAGCGGCCGAAAGCAGAAATCCCTGAGTTGTTCCTGATGTTAGGGGAAAGCGTTTAATTTTTTCACAGCACAATCTGATGTGTGCTGTGGGGTTTCCATGGCTGCCCCCTTCACCAAGTTAAGTTTTCTTCTACTCTTAGTTTTACAGGTTTTTAAAAGTTATTATTAAGGGGTAGTAGATTTTGTCATTTGTTTTATTCTTCATCTATTGAGATAATCCCATATTTTTGTTATTTATTCTATTAACATGATGAATTACATCATTAGATTTTCACATGGTTAAAACAATCTTTTATTCTTGGGATAAATCCCACTTGCCCATTGCATATAATCCCTTTTTTAATGTTTCTAGATTTAGTTTTCCATTATTCTGTTGATGATTTTTGCATCTATAGTGTAGATAGGATTTGTTTTTATTCTATAATTGATGCAAAGGGAGACTTCCGGAAGTTCAGCACATTTCCAAGCTCATGCAGGTAGAAAATGAAGGAGCAAGATTCAAGCCTGAGATTAGTTGCAATGACGACTTTCAGTTTAGGTGACATATTTAGCTACTAAAACTAGGAATTCCGGATTAGAAGAAGAATGCTGTTTATGATTGTGACCTCATGAGGATTTGGTACTCCCCCAAAGAAAGACCATTTTCTCAACTGCCTTCCTTAAAAAAGAAAAAAGTCAGATTGTTTAAAAAACAAAAAAACTCTAAATGCTAAAAATATCAATCAAGCCTTCTGCCTAGCTCTCCATAGGTGAAAATGACAAAGCTATATAAGAAAATAAATTAAATAATTATCTGTACCATAATAAAGAGGGATCTACCCCATAGTCTTATAGAGAATTCTTTTTGGAGTTTTTCAGGTTTAATTTCAGATTCCCAGTGGACAATTAACAATTTGAGATGTGCAAGTTACATAGACATGTCACTCAGGACCGATAGATGTTTAAGTCTTGCAAATAAAATAAATGTTTCTACATTTTAAAAAGGCCACTTTGATTTCATGAATTATCATATATCTGTTACCTTTGGGTTTACAAATAGTGCCAATATACAGCATGGTGACTGTAGTTAGTAATACTGTATTATGTATTGAAATTTGCTAAGAAAGTAGATTTTATGTGTTTCTTACTCCACACACAGACACACCCACAAAATGGTAACTGTGTGAGGTGATAAACATGTTGACTAGCTTGATTGTGTAATCATTTCACAATGTATACATATAGCAACACCCCACTTGTACATCTTCAATATATGTGATTTTTAATTTGTCATTTATGCCTTAATAAAGCTGGGGGAAAAAACAGTGCCATGGAGCCACATATCAAAATATCTTTCTTATCTACTGAGTATCAAGCTAGTATGTGAAGAGTGGATGGAATACATTACAGCATTACTGATATTCGGCTTTAATTAAAACTTCTTGATAAAACTTCTGTTTGGCATTATTTCAGTTAGCCAAGCCACTTTTCTATTTCTCTTAAATTCCCTCAGCATCTGGTACAATGCTGGGTATATGTTAATCTGATTAAAATTAAAGAATGAATATAAAATTACTTCTATAACTTCTAAAATACCATACAAATATGAGATGTCAATAATTAAGAATATAGTGATAAGAATGCAGTAAATATGTATTAAATTTAATGGCATTATAATTCTAGATTATCTTATAATCAAAGTCATGTTAGTACACACAATATAATATAAAATTGGGTTCTTAATCATCTTTTGAAGATCATGATGAAGTCTAAACAAGACATTTAAATGTCTGTTGATCTAGAAATACCAGGTAACAGGTAAAAGCACAAGTAGAATGTATTTTTATTTATTTATTTATTTATTGAGGCAAGGTTTACCTGTGTTACCCAAGCTGCAGGGTGATTATGGCTCAGGGCACCTTGACCTCACTTGATCAACAAGTAATGTTCCCACCTTAGCCTCCTCAGTAGCTAGAACTCTAGACACATGCCACCATGCCTGGCTAATTTTTTTGGTTTTTATTTTTTGTTGAGATGGGGTCCCACTACGTTGCCCAGGCTGGTCTCAAACTCCTGTGCTCAAGCAGCCCTCCCACTTTGGTCTCCCAGATTTCTGTGATTACAAGCCATGAGCCACTGCATGTAGCCATAATTAATATAGAATATTAGGGACAGTGAAGACTCATATCGTCAGTGAGACTTTTTATGTACTTGTTCTGAGGAGAAACACTATGCTCTATGAGCCCTATTCAGAACAAGTTTGAAATGAAGTGTGAAATTAACAAAAAACACTACTCAGGTTGAGTGTAGAGAGTAATACAAGCACCTCATAGACTTAAGGACATTAAAGTTCGAGTTGCTCAGGGAAACAAAGTAAGTGGTGGTGATTGAACCACTTGAAATGTTCCTTCCTTTGTGCAAACAATGGTGGATTGCCAGTTTTCCTGATTTGTTAATATACAGTTGCTAAGTCTACTATTTCCTTTGGAAAAGAAGATAGTGTACCTTCTGTGGCAAATAAAAAGTTATTTTATTAGTTTGATGTTTTTACTGCAAGCAAATACAAACCCCAACACAAAGCAACTTAAACATTATTTTCACAAATCCAGAGGTAGGATGGTTATGTCAATGCTCCAACCATATCATTAGAACCTGGGTTTCCGCATGTCTACTTGGCCTTCCCCAGGCACCGGCCTCCCACTGAGTTTACCTGTCTTCTTTATTGGAAACACCCATCAGGCCATCTGATTGGCCAGGATTATGTCAGATGCTCAAGCCTAAACCCATCACTAGCAAGGGGACTGAGAACTCTCCTGAGTGGCTTAACTGGAGGAGGTAGAGACATGCTTAGCGACATCAGGGCTCTGCTTGCAGGAAAGAAGGGGAAGGATGTCGGGCAGACATCTGCAGTAATGTTACGGTTCTCTATTTAAATGAATGTATTTTTCTTTTCTCCCAAACGATAAATAGTGATGTAATATTTTCAATGTGTTTTCTTCTTACCTGGAAGTTTAACTTTGATTTAGGATTTTTCTGACCCTTGGAGATAAGGATGACAGAAGCCTTGGGGAGAATAATGGCGGCACCATAACGAACTGGAGCTTTGTAATCAGAGTAATTTCATCTCTGGATTCGATTCTCAGTTAACGTGTGTGACTGCTATCTAAACTCCTCTTTCCACACGTCCCCCCTGGGGCCTTTTCTGATTGCAGCAGTTGTTTTTCGTATTATGCCTGCATTAAACATGAAATTTCAGCTGCCGGAATTGAGCTTGCCTTTTTCTGACAAGATTGCAAACAGCTTAGCTGCAGCCATTAGGATCAACATAAACAGTCTCGTGAAATGGGTAAATGAGTTCATGTGCGCAGGGCGGAAACCTCTTCAAATAAGGAGGCCACTACAAGAGGAGAAGTTAGTAGAGTGCCATCACTGTATACAAGAAAGGATGCAAGAAGTATGCCTGGGTCTTGTTCAGAGAGACTGGAACATGTCCATCGAAACACCAGTCATATCCTTGGGCTGACATTATTCCCCACCCCCTTCTCAAGGGTTAGGACTGGCTTAGGTGGAGCAATGAGGATGGGAAATAGTTTTGGTGACCCCATCAGTGAGGTCTTCTTGATCCTCTCTCAAATCTGTCTCAATACGACGTCACAGCTGCAAAGACTCAAATTTGACTTCCAAACACTTGAAAAGTAATACGCCTTAAGTAGTGAATTGGCAGAAAAAATAACGTTGACTAACATGAAAGACTTCATTCAGATCCTCTTTGGAAAACCCTGTCTTGTTCCGGTCTGTGTGATAGCTGCTCCAATCTCACTCTGCTGGCAAGCAGTTAAAACCTGTAAGGACCTAGCCCACCACCTGCTGTTTGCTGAAAGCTCACCATCTCCTCACTCTCTCCCCACTTGCCCCTGCAATTCTCCAGTCTGAGTTTCTCAATATGAGTGCTGCCGACGTGTGTCACCAGAGGATTCTTCATTGTCAGGGGCTCTCTTCATTGTAGAAGGGTAATGAGCTTCTATGGCCTTTACCCACTACACACAAACAACATTTGCCAAAAGTGCAGACAAAATGCAGACTCAGAAAGTCCAGGGTATATTGCCAAATTCTCTGAAATTGCCAAATTCTCAGAATCCTCTGGTGACACATGTCAGCAGCACTCATGTTGAGAAACCCAGACTGGAGAATTGCAGGCGCAAGTGGGGAGAGAGTGAGGAGATGGTGAACTTTCAGCAAACAGCAGGTGGTGGACTAGGTCCTTATAGGCTTTAATTGCTTGCCAGCAGAGTGAGATTGGAGTAGCTGCCACACAGATTGGAACAAGATAGGGGTTTCCAAAGAGGATCTGAGGACAAATCACCCTGATTAAGAACCACAGCTATAAGTAGTCTGTGCCTTCTTCGGGTTTCTGGATCTATCCTTTTCTGTAACCTCTCCCATTTATTTTTCCATCTCCCACATCCTCCAAGCAAAACAAACAAAAATAAATAATCAGAACACATCCTATTTAGAAGGTCATCAATTAAAGGTTATTTTTCTCCTTTTCCATGTAGAGTCAAATGGAAATCAAGACAAGAATTCCAGTGTGAATACCAGGGGAGCAGTATGTTTGGATTTCCAAAACAAGGGGCCAGAAGAAGAATATCAGGTGCAAAGCAGGAGATAAGGAGTCCAGGAAAGTAGAAAAGTGGAAGCAGAGAGCAAGATGGAATGAAACAGAAGATTCAGGTCTAAGATCTGAAGCAACAAATGAATTGTGCCAGCTGCTGATGCTTTGTGAATGCTCCCCACAAGCAGTAGGGGCGCTGGGTCATTCTGGAGGGGACTAGAGTGGGACAGAAAGCAGAGAAGACCGAGAATAAAGGTTACGTGGGCAAGACTACAGGAGAAGCAGCGGGAGGAAGAACAGACGGGCTGGACTGAAAACGGAATTGGGTAAACCACATTGGACACTACCCTAAGGCAATGTTTCAGGTGTGTGGTCAAAAACATACAAAAGTACACTAATATTTTTTATACTTTGTCAACGTGTTACACTTAGGAAGTGTAACATTAAAAAAAAAACCTTTTACTAATTTAATTTTAGAGAAAGAAACTTATAGGAGGAGGAAAATGTCTAGCTTCAGTTGGAAACAGCAAGGAACTTAAAAACATTAAAAATAAAATCAAATAAAGAATATCACAAGTCAATAAATGGCTTACAGCAACAACAGAGAAAGAGGAGTATGAGGAGTATGGTTCTGAGGGAAATGGTGGTCACCAGCAGGCTTGGTGTGTCGGTGGCCTAGAGGACGAGGGAGGCGTCGGCTGAGCACCTGTGCTATATCAGGTTTTTGCTCAGCACATCGCATTGGATAGCTCACTTAACACCCACAAAAGCCCCAGGAAAGATTATCTGCCCCATGTTACAGACGAGGAAACTGACGACTCCTACTTGACCGAGGGGATGCAATATCAAGCAGCAGAACTAAGACGCAAATCTTCATCCCATTCTTCAAAGGAACACTCTATCCTTAACCACACCTTTTCCTTTCAGGAGGTTTTGTTGTTTACAAATATACCTGTATTTATTTTTCTGTATTTGTTTATTTATTTTGAGACAGGGTCTCACTCTGTTGTCCAGGCCTCAACTTCCAGGGCTCAAGTGATCCTCCCACCTCAGCCTCCTGAGTAGCTGGGACTGCCAGCATGCACCACCACGCCCAACTAATTTTTGTATTTTTAGTAGAGTTGGGGTTTCCCCATATTACCCAGGCTGGCCTCGAACTCCTGGCCTCAAGTGATGCTCTCACCTTGGCCTCCCCAAATGCTGGGATTACAGATGTGAGCCACTGCACTCAGCCTCTCTGTATTTATCTATTGCATGAAACTCTTCTCTTTTGGGATGACAGAGAAGAAGTATTGACTAATCACACTATTTTGAACTTCAGTTTAATATACTTCTGTACAAAGTAGACAACTCCTAAGTACACAATTAAAGAAATAATATCCAAGTTATTATATGCACTAAACTACCACCAAGGTCAAGAAATAGAACATTATTAGTACACCAAAATCTCCCATATTGTCTTATTTCCCTTCTCCTAGAAAGTACCCACTATTCTAACTTCTAAAATCATAGATGATATTTCTTTTAAAAAATTTTAAGTATATATAGAATGATACAGTATCAATTATTTTCTTTTGGTTTGGCTTCATTTGCTAAAAATTTTGTTTGTAAGATTTATCCATGATCCTACGTATATTCACCAGACAGTCCTCTGTTGTGTCAGCATGCCACAATTTATGTGTCTGCTCGATTTTGGAAGGACATTTCATAAAATGAGTTGGGGCTTAATACATTCAGTCCTTCTATGAGCATTCTATGTTTTTCCTTTTATAAATCCACTTCCCCATTTCTGTTGGGAAGTAAAATTGCTGAATATGTACATGCACAGTTTAAAGTAGAGACTGTTAATTTTCAAAGAGTTTTCAAACTACACCAATGTAATGGTAGTTTATTTTATTTGTTGTACAGTTTTTTATCATATAATATTCCATGGATATATTAGGTTGGTGCAAAAGCAATTGTGTTTTTTGCCATTACCTAGTATCTATGAATTCTACTTTTCATGTTTTTTGTGCCCATGTACAATCATTTTATACAAACACACACATGCACATACACAAATTTAATAGATCACACCAACAGTGTTCTAGAATAGCTGTACAACTCTGTGTATGAGAGTGTTCAATTGTCCCTTACAAACTTTCTTGGAGACAATTTATTTTCAATTCATTGTCACAGATCCTCAACAATTGTCTTAGATGCAGCCTACTGTTGTGGTTACCATGACAGACTTTGGGCCTAGAGTACTTGAGTTGAATTCAAGTTTTGCCGCTTACCATAGGATCCAGCAATCTCACGATGGAGTTTATATCCCCAAAAAATGAAACCAGTATGCAAATAAATACTGAATACCGAATACTGAATACTGTAGTATTGCAGCACTATTCACAATTGTCAAGATATGGAATCAACTGACGTGCCCGTGAGTGGATGAGTGAATAAAGAAAATGTAGCATAGAAGAGAATGAAATCCTGTCCTTCGCAGCAGCATGATGAGCCTGGAGGACGTTATGTAGAGTGAAATCAGTCAGGACCAGAAAGATAAACACTCTATGTTCTCACTCATATGTGGAATCACTTAGCTTTTTAGCACTTCCCTCTGTTTCTCCATATGAAAAATGGAAATGATGATAACAAAAATACCTCATAGAATTACTAAATCAACAAATGAATTAATACCTGTAAGACATTTAGAATACTACTTGGCATATTATAAATTATATGTTAAATATGAAGTTAATGTTCTATTTTTCTGATATGTGTCTCTATATAAATATAATGGACATTATAAAGATGCATAATAAATGCTTACTTAATATGATTATACTGCTTTCTTAATTTATCAAGTTCAGTCATTATCTACAAAATGTATTTTATAATAGATAAAGATGTAGCAGTTTTACATCCCACGTATCTCTGCCAGCATGGTTCTGTCATAATCTTTGTTTAAATTAATAAATATTAATTACATCATGTATTTGTTTTTCTAGGGATATTTGCTGTAGCAAAGTACCACAAACTGCATGGCTTCAAGCAACAGAAACGTATTAACTCATAATTCTGGGGGCTACAGTTCCAAAATCAAGTCATCAGCAGGGCCGTGCTCTGTCTAAGCTCTCTGACACACTGCTTGATTACTGGCAATCCCTGGCATTTCTTAGCTTGCAGTTATGTAACTCCAAACACTGCGTTCTTCATCACATGGTGTTCTCTCTGCGTCTCTCTTGCCACTTGTTTTGTAAAGACACCCATCATCTTGGATTAGGGCCCATCCTCATGACCTTATCTTCACATGATTACAGCTCTAAAGACCCTGTTTCCAAATACAGTCACATTCTGATGTATTTTCTAGGTTAGGATTTTAACATATCTTTTGTGAGGACATAATTCAGCTCATGACACGGTATTATGTAAATATTGTTTATGGCAATAGCAGTAGGAATCTTTGCCTATATCACTCTACATATTTTAAAAAATCTTTTTTCCAATGATCCATCAGTTATGCAGTACTTTTAATCACTTTACTCCAAATAATCCATTGTAGCAAATAATCGGTCACTTCATGTCCTGAATACTTCCTTTCCAGAGCTTTGTATTCTTTTCCAATTTTTACTTTTTTTGTGTCTAGACCTACCATATAGCTGTCATGCAGAAACTTAGTTCACAATTCTTTTGTGTTAGAGTTAATGTTTCCTGTTTTCTATATCTTACTGTTTCATAACTTACTTTCACCTTTCATTGAAATATATTCTTCCTTGTATTACTAAGAAACAAGACATGGTGGTCAAATTTTCTGAATCTTTAAATTTTTGAAAATTCTTTTATTATTCTATTTCCATAGTCATTGTATAGCTTAGCTAGGTATAAAATTGCAAATATTTTTTCTTCAAAATTTGAAGGTAAGGCTTTGTTTATTATCTAGCATAATATATCTTCCTTTAAAAGGCCAATGTCTTTCTAATTCTTGATCTCTTGGATGGAATTGAATGCTTTCCTCTCTGTCTTTATGGTAGTCTTAAAAGTTAATCCTCTTATACTATTCCCATTCATAGACATAGGTATTTAATATATATGTAATTGACTTTCTATATTCCTAATTTTAATGTTTTTTCTTGTCTTCTGATTGTTCTATTTTCATAACATACTGCTCTTATTTTATAGATACAATGTGTTTTCTTAGTATTCTAAACTTTATAACCTTAAAAATGTTCTTTTCCTTAATGCATTATCTCTGTTCTCTTCATACCCATTCATTGCACTTGTCTTAACTGCATTTTGTGTGTGTGTGTGTGTGTTGAAAACTGATTGCAAGTTTAAAGAGATATCTGACTGTTTAGATTTGCACATAGTGTAGTGACAAGCTGATTAGCAGCTCTGAATGTGTGGGTAAGACTTATTCATTGCTTAGCATCATTGCAGATTGATCAGCCTGCAAGGCAAGCATTTACTTTTAGGACTCTGAATGTACTTGGGTAAAATCGGGACTATTTAGTTTCTCCAGAGAATAATTATCTAATCTCTTGTTTGGATATTATGACTGGGGGTATATGTTCTAGGAGCTGAATTGTTAATTCTTTTAGGGGCTGTCTTTAAAATCATATTTAAAAGACCACCATTTTCTCAGTCCCACATTTTACTTTCTTTTACTATAAAATAAACCTACATTCAATTTTCTAGCTGTGTGCATGGGGATTACATGGAGGCTGATTAGTATTATTCTGAATACACACAGTCAGGAAAATGTGGCATCTCCATTCACAGATGTGCAGTTGGTGCACCTGTTTCCATCTCTACACATCATCTCCTCACTTCACTGATACTGATACCAACAATTTCTGAGATTTTTCACATGATTTGCTTGGCAAATCAGTTTTCTCCTCTTTGATATCAGCCTATACAGATATTTTATTTGTAGCCTCATCCTCCCTGCTTAAAAAATGTGACTTCTCCATCCATATTTTGTATCATTTTGGTTGCTATAGATTTAAGTATTTTTTTTAAATTCCCCACTATTATAGAAAGAAAATATGTAAATATATGTGGTTAATCTGTCATCATTAACCAGAAGACAATTTAGGGTTTTAATCTTGATGTTCCTCAAGAATTTTCTGTAAATGATTTAACACAACTGGAATGTGTTTTAGTGAATGGTGTGAGAGAAGGACTTACGTATTGTTCAATAACTCCAATTTTACCAGCTGCAATTATTGAGTAACACTTTACTTTTCCAAAGATATGTGAGGCTTCTCTTAAGTTCTTAAAATATATGTTGAGTTCTGTTACAGAGCTTTCTCTCTTTCCTTTTTAATAGCATTGTTTTCTTTGATATTAAAATTATACTTATTCATTTTAGAAAATTTGCAAAATATATAAAACTACAACATGAATATACAAACTACCATCTCCCCTCTGCACTGTTTATTTCTTCAAGTATTATAAAACATATGTGCATAATTTAAGCTTAAAATAGGAGCTTGTTTATGTTATTAGGCAACCTTCTTCAGTCACTTAACATTATATAGTGAACAGTTTCTTATTGCATTAACTTTTTGTAGTATGATTTGTAATTGCTTAACAGTATTTAATCATATAGATATATCATAATTTATTTCTTTATATAGTTTGCCAGCACTGGATA